GCAAATATAAGGGGGTTTTTGAGGGAGGATATACAGCAAATTCCTCTACGGAACTATTCAAAATATTTGAAGTGAATTTAACGAATCCCAGAACATACAAACTTGAAGATATGGAGGGCAAACCGATCAAAGGATCCTTTTATGAATTGGAGCTATTGAAAACCGTCAACCCTGAGGTATCCTTGGTGAAAAAAGTCTTGAAGAAAAATGGAACTTAATTATTTGTCGAATGGCTCGGATTCTCTGGCCAACACAATTCTTGAATTGATGAGTCTGCTATAATTTGATGTATGTGAACCCAATATAGTTCTTTCGAAATTATATGTTATGCGTCTCTCTCTATCCACCCTCTACCAATTGAATCATTATCAGCTGAAAAGAAAAAAAAAACACCATATTTCATCAAACAAAAATTATTCATTTGAAAATTCAATTTCAAACGGGATACATAAACCCAATCCTACTTCTAAGTGGCCATCTTCATCTGAACTGGCCTGTTCTCGTACATAGTATGGTTCTGGGGGAGGTTCGTTCAGGCTCCTATGATATACCCTTCCCTCGTGCGACAAACACCAGCACGCGCTGAAATGGTGGTCCTCACTCCTATATATTATGTGGCCAACATTTCCACAAAAATATTACCCATTTGAGCATCCGGCACATACACCATTCCAGCAGTCGTTCCGATATGAACTGCAGCTGATACACCTCCGGAATCGCAGCCGATCTTCCATGCTGCTCGCCCTGCGTGTGTTTCTACAGATACCCATGTTGGTATTCTTCCAGCTTGGAGCACATCACACACATTGATTTGTTGTCATCCTCGTGCTGCACGCTCAGTCTAGGGGGGTCGGGAGATCTTCGACTATTTTCTGCAATGCAGCGCTGGCTGTTCGGAATATATCGTCCTGTAGTCTAAGTGATATGGTTGTTAGGACATTGATGTTTATGTCAGTTGAAATAAAGTTTTCAATGAATAAGTTAAGAAATTTGATGGGAACTGACGCTGCGAAAATAATATAAACTTTTGCCATTCCACAAGATCACAATGGAGATTATAGTTATTTAATGCAAGGAATTGAAAAATATGTGAATGAAGTTTATGAAAGGTATAATTGCATGAAGAGGACACAGAAGGAAGGTGAATCATTCAAAAGTTTTCTCACTGATTGCAAGAAATTGATTAAAACATGCAATTACAACATTATATGGATCCTGGATAATCTGCAGAAGAAAGAGCACTCAGAGATAAAATTTTGATGGGAATAATAGACTCCAATACCCGAAAAGCTCTGTTACGGGTCGAAAAATTAACTTTGGAGAAAGCAGTGAACTTCTGTATTACTAGCGAGCAGTGTAAAAGTCAGAATGAACAATTCAAGCAACGAGAAGATACATCAGAAGGTAACACTGAAGAACAGAACAGTGGGTAAGACTGGAAGGAGTCGTAGACCTGAAAATAAAAGTAGTCGCGATCACTTCAAATGTAGCTGTTGTCAGACTATGTATGGTCCTAGAGGATGTCCGGCGTATGGTCAAAAATGTAAAAGATGCGGATTACTGAACCATTTCGAAATATCATGTCGGGTCAAAAATGTAAAAAATGTAGATCAACAGTCAGGATCTGATAGCTCTGATGATAGTATCTTTGTTCAACGTGTAGAGAATATCCCTTCAAATAATTCAACTTGCACACAGGGTCTCTGGGATGAGATTATACAGGTTGAAAACAGGAAAATGCACGTAAAGATAGATACTGGAGCTGACGTTAGTGTCATGCCATTGAGAATTTTCAAGAAGGTCAATAACAGTTTCAATGTTAGGTCTACAAACTATGTTGTGTATAATGCAAAAATGAAAATCTTTCCTCATGTAAAGGCGGATATGGGCTGGTGGACAAAAACAATTGACCACACAGTTAATAACATTAGGCAGGACAAGTACGACTTAGAAATTTATACGGATGCATCCTTGACAGGTGGTGGTGATCAGCGGAGGAAAAGACGCATCATGTTGATTATTTAGAGTTGCTGGGCGTGTTTTATGGTTTGAAAAGTTTTGCGGAGGGCTAGGTAGCGAGTAATATTACTCTCCGAGTCGACAACAGTACTGCTTTATCTTATATTAACCGTATGGGTAGTATAAGATTCCCACTTTTGAGTGATTTAGCAAAAAGGATATGGCAGTGGTGTGAAGAAAGAGATTTTATATAAAATCTGAGGACAATCACATAGCAGATGAACAGTCTCGTATATTTCCGACAGAGACCGAGTGGCAGCTTAGTCCCAAAATTTCTCAAAAAATTGTAGTCTTTTGGCCAACCTGAAATAGATCTTTATGCGTCCAGTGAAAATAATAAATGTTTAAAATTTATATCCTGGTTCCCAGATGCTAATGCATTAACGATTGATGCGTTCAGTCAGTTGGGAAAATTATTATTTCTATGCGTTCCCACCGTTTTCTTCGATATTGAGAACGCTCAATAGAATAATAATGGATAAAGCAAACGGTATATTGGTCGTTCCTGAATGGCCGACACAATCTTGGTATCCTCTATTTTGCGAGATGCTAACAAAACCTCCACAAAAATTTGAACCTACCATTAATTCATTATTATCTGCTTCCAGGGAAACTCACCCATTTGCATCAAAGATTATCCTGGTTGCCGGAAAATTATCCGGCAGGCTTATGTGAAGAAGAAACTTCCTGAAAGCAGCATACCTATATTGTTGGAATCTTTGTCGAGTTCGACAATTAAGCAATATAATAGTACTTACAAGTTATGGTGGAATTTTTGTTTCAAAAATTCAATTGATTATTTGGATGCCGGAATACATGAGGTTATGCAATTCTTGCAGAGTTTGATGGAGCAGAAATCTATTAATTATGTGACTCCTAATGGCCATAGATCGGCGCTATCGTTGATCCTTGAGGGTAAAATAGGTGCGAGTCCAGTCATCAAACGTTTTCTCAGAGGGGTTCTTAGGTTGAGCCCCCTTAGAAGGAAGTATAATTTCACTTGGGATCCAGGAGTAGTTTTTATCTTACTTAGAAAATAAAAATCCCAACGAACATAATATATCAGTGGAGGATCTAGCAAGGAAAGAAGCGACGTTATTGGCATTAACGACTGCCCATCGCATTCAGACTTAAGCCCTCCTCAGGGTGGACAATATTATTATATCTCCAAATGAAATACAGATTTTAATTCCAGATCATCTGAAAACTACAACTGCAAGAAACATGCACCCTTTCTTTTTGCGGCAGCCTGGGGTATGCGCTGCTTCTGCTTTATTGTGTTATATCGAAAATACATCAGAGATTAGAACTGAAGCACATGATTTTTTGTTCTTAACGACTAGAAAACCTTACAGGTCGGCAACGACCAATAATATGAGTCGATGGATTAAGCAAGTACTAGCAGCGGCTGGAGTTAACACGGCCATTTTTCGGGATATTCAACTCGACACGCAGCAACGTCAGCTGCTTATCGAAACGGTGTCTTGCTGCAAGAAATTCGAAGGACAGCAGGTTGGAATGACAACTCAATGGTTTTTGCAAAGTTTAATAACAAACCATTGATAGGCCATCTAGATGTAGCAAAGGCAGTGGTGTAAAAATCTAAGGATTCCAAAGAATGAGAACACATACTTATTATATTTTGTATGTTTTTTTTCATAGGGCATATGAGATTGTTTTTTATTCAATATTTACTTGAAAGAAGTAAATGTTCATTTCGAGATTATAGCTGTATCTGATTATTTATTATAACCCAAGGTTTAAATAATGATTGGGTGAAAAAACGCAGACATTAGCTTTAAACATCTACCATTGTGATCTTTGAAGAACGGGGCGCCGAAATATAATTGAACGATCAAATGAACTTCCTGTGAAGTTCGATCGTAATTATATGAGGCGACTCGTTCGAAAAAGATCATTCCCGCTTCTCCCCCAAAATTGTTGGGAATTTTGGTTTACCGAATAGTGCGAACAGAGGCAAAATGTCACAACTCTGTAGACTGTAATGGACGTGTACACCTTAGTAGAACTTTTAACTCAAACCATGTTGATAATGATCCTTTTATACATAAATAATGATTGACGCCATAATTCGATCGAAAAATTAACTGGAATGTTTTATTTTTGGACATAAATATTAGTACCTTCTGAAAACGGACCCTCTTATGACGTAGAAACCTTATCTCGCCATAGTTAAAACTGACACTTATCACAGTTGCCATATCATCGAAACAAAATATCCGAGAGATCGAAATCGATATTGAAATATCTATTGATATCCACTACCACTACTGCAGAAAAATATATTCAAGTTGTCGATTGTGGGTTGAATCATTGGAATATAAACAATCTCTAGACAACGAAATGTCTCAATCTCAAAACCATTTGCACCATTACAATTTCACAATAATCCAATATATTTCATAAACGCAGCAACATTGCTTTGTTGGCCCGTTTTACATGAAGCTGCAAAAAGTTGTTTCAGTATTGGGGTTTTGACGTCACATCATCGCCTCGTTTTCAGAGGTCTGAAAAATCGGGGATTTCAATATTTTTTTAAGAAACGTAGGGAGATCACAGCAAGAAACTGTTCGCGGTGGTGGCCTAGTTTGGGTGAGTTCTATCCAATTATGAAATACAAATTTTTTGTGATATAAGCCCATTGTCCCAATTGGCCAAAACCTTCAACTAAATTAGCTCTGACAAAGATAACAATTGCAAGTTCAGATAGTGACCCATAACTTATGCGTTCATATTCATTTCTAAATTGTGAGGACACTCAATCAGAGGAAAACGAGGAAATGAATTTGAAAAAGGTATTATTGCATCTGGAATCATGATAGTTTGTTTTTGTTTGACGAACAACCGCAGGAGGTGCCCTTAGAACACAAGTTCACGTGGAATTGATTATGATACAATTTGCAGGAAATTTGTACAAAATATTTGTGGAATATGTTTGGTTAAAAAGAATGACTCGGAACTAGGTATAAGCTTTCATCGAAATACACTACTTAGGCAAGATAATCGGTCGCAGTCGGGGCTAGCACCTACGTAGCAGTGAGGAAAACGGCATTATTCGCATTCTCGTTCCCGTTAAATAACGATATCTCACGAGTTATGTCCTATGTAGTGTTTTTCGATAAAACCACGGTATAATAATTTTATTTGAAGAAATTAAAACAGTATTCAGTGCTTATTTAGAGTAATTCCTATAATACATATATAATTCAACGTAATCTTTACAATAGGTAATATAAATATGAAGTATTAACAAACGATAGCACATAATATTTTCAATAACCAGATTTTTGTTCAATCACATTTCAGAATATCAATTTCACAAATAATTCAAAGCAATGCTGTTATATCCCAAACTTTTATCATACGATCTTGACCAACGGTGACAATTCGCTTACTGGTTTCATCCACGCTCATCGCTACCACATTGTGTTTGGCATCATGAAATGTAGCTAAAGATGGCCGCCTGAAACAAAAGAAAATTGAATTGTGAAAATATTCGGAGTAGTGCTTTCAAATTCGATCAAAATACGGAAAATGAAGCTATATGTGAAGATCCAACGGGTTTCCGTTCAGTGGCCGGCATTCGGTTCATACGGTCAATTATTACATTATAGTTATTTGAGTCACTCGTGAAACAGCAATAGTCTTGGCTTACTAGACCACAACATTGGACCATTTTACACAGTACTTATGTGGCTCAAGAAATAATTTAGGATATCAAATTCAACATTATCCCATTAGCAAAATGAACATTTTCATAATATGTACGTCGAATTGAAATTCGGAACAAAATGTTCATCGAATGTTCAAATGTTCAAAATGGAAATCGCAGTTTGAATGAACAAAGTTTCGTTAATTATTCAAAATTTTCTGATATATGTACCGAATGACTCATTTCATTTTATTCAACAGCAAATTTCGAGAAATGAAGCTAGGTTACAGATAAAGGAATGAGGAAATATTTGAGAGCCAGAAAGAATTTCTTAAAGTCTTTACAAAAGAATATCGAATATTTTAGTGAAATAGTAATCAAAAGGGGTGTGTTTATGTATTAGGTGTTTTAAATTAGCAAGACAAACATTATGCAAAATTACCTGTGAAAAATTTGATAACCAAATATTACTATTCAACAATTATTATAAATAGAATCCAATGTTATGGTAACTGATTGGTATTGCTAGTAATTTAATTATAGCAGAGATTTCTGAAGATCATTTCTCGTGGAAGTATCTTTAGGAAAGTGAAAGGAAGCCGAATTTTCTACGGTGTTCCAATGATGTCGAAGAATTAGTGAGTGTGGCGTGACCACCAGGCGAACGGCTTGATGGACACCAAGAGCATAAGCGAATGCTTGGATGCTGAACCTCATATATGTGGAAACAATATTCTGAAACAGATGCGGCCTATCTGTGCTGTGTTCCTCAGGCTGTAATTTCAGCAAGAGAACGCAGTATGGAGACTACCTTCAATCATCTGTGCAAAACTGTGGATGGAGCAAGTGATTACTCCCAACTTATCACTCATATGAAGTACTCCCAAATTACCACTGATATGAAGTAGGAACAATGTTGGTGCCAAGATTGATCCTTGTGGAACGCCGGAATTGATGGCTATGTTATCAGACGATACTCCGTACAGCACCACATGGAGCGATCTGCCTGATAAAGAACTGGATGAAAGATGGCATAGCTGAGGTGGTACGCCGTATGATGGTAGTTTGTTAAGAAGTCCTTGGTACAAAACACGGTCGAATGCTTTCGATGCATCTAACGCTAGAGATTCCCCATGTTTTTCTAATGAAGCTTGCCATATGTGGGTGACGTAAGCGAATAAATCTCCAGTTGATCTTCTATGACGAGCGCCGTATTGTCTATCATTGACGATTCCTGAGCTTTCCAGATATTTGATGAGCTCAATGTTGATGGCTTTCTCTTTCACTTTGGAGATAATAACTGATAATAGGGCAATGAACAATTACAAATGGTTCTCAGAATGAGAGATCATGGATTGAATGTTGGAGACATTGGACAGTGTTTCTACACATCAAGAGCTTCAATATACAGGGCAATCCGTCGTCACGATCAAACATGAGATCATAATTATCGTCACGGAGGTGGACGACAGAGGAAGACATCTGCGAGAAATGATAATTTCTTAGTTACTTCGGTACGTCGTCTTCGAACACAGACTGCTGGACAACTGAACTAGACACTAAGAAATGGAACAGGAGTTGTTTGTCTCAGATGAGACAATTAGAAGAAGGCTTCATGAGCGCAATCTGAGAGCCAGAAGAAGGGCTTCTTGTACTCTATTGAAGCTGAACCATAGGATAGCTCGAGAACTTTGGGCTCAAAACCATTTGAACTGGGAAATAGATTGAGGGAGATGTTTATTCATTGATGAGAGTAGGTGTAATATGTTCAGATCAGATGGAAGGATATTAGTATGGCAAGAAGGGGTGAGAGGTTTCTGGAGGAAAATATGGAGGCGCGGGTGGCATTTGGGGGTGGGTGTGTTACGATATGGGGCGGAATAAGGATGAACCACCACACCACGTTGGTTATTTTGAGGGAAAGTATGAATGCTGTTCGATATCGTGACATGTGCATAAGAGATGTTGTTATACCAGTTGCTGAAAACTTTGGAGACAATTTCGTACTGGTCGATGGTAATGCACGACCACATCATGCGAGAATTGTCACCGAAGTTCTGAGACAACATAACATAGAGAAAATTGACCGGCCACCCATGTCTCCAGGCATGAACCCAATAGAACTTGTATGGGCTAGGTTAAAATTATGTTAGAAGAGAAGAGGAGGTAAAATGATGAATAGTGGAAGAATGGGCAGCTATTCCCCAAGATTTCATTGATGGCTTGATGAGCAGTATGCCGAGAAGAGTTAGGGCTCTCGCAGCGGCCAGGGGTGGTGTAACAAAATATAGATGGGTATAGTAACCTTGGGGTTGAAAACATATGATGAGGTTGATAAATATCTTCGCAATCTTGATGAAATAAATATAGGAAGTGATGATTCACCGAGTGAAAATTCTCGTGAAAATATGCGGTATTCCTATCGTAGGTCTGATCGGGGAGGGCTCAATAATGGGCCACCCAGGGGCCATAATAATAATAATAATAGTTGGCGGGCAATCCCATCGTCGGCGGGTAATAGTGTAGAGCGAGAACGCGATATGGGAAGTATCGGCAACAATGTACGTCACGTAGCAATGTTTTACGATGATCCCGAATTCCTAGTTACCAGCGATTCGGACGCTGGAGAAAATGAAAGAGAGGATTAGGTTATTCATGTCGCCAATTCTGAAGGCAAGGATAGGGTATAAGTTGGCAAGTATCATCATTGATAGTGGCAGCGAAATTACGGCCATATCGGAAATATTTTATAACGTAATTAAGAAGATGGTAAAAATACCTGTGTTGTCGGTTCCCAACGTATCAATTTCAACGGCCGTAGGCGCGAAGAAGCAATGTATTAAATATCAAGCCTTGTTGCCTATTGAATTTTTTATACCCGAGAAATTAGAACTAGATGTTAAATGTTTGATTGTGCCGGGGCTCAATTGTGATATGTTATTTGGCTATGTATAAGGCGAATGTAAACTTTAGCGGTTCTACTATTACTCTCGACGTGGAAGGAAATGTTTGTAACATTCCATTTAATTCAGAATTGCCGGACGGAGAACAATTGAGTATAAAGTTATGTATAAACTCTTATGCTAATGAGGAAACTCCAAAAGGAAGTGAGATGGTGGCGTTACATCAATATTCGGATGTTGATTTTCGAAGATCTGCAGAGAAAGCTTGTGCAGACGAGACAACCAAAGATGAATTATTCAGACTCATCTCGTCGTAGTAGAGTAATATTTTCTCTGAATGTCCGGGACGGGTGAGATCGTATAAAGATAAAATTGAAATGGAGGATAAGGGTCAGTTTCATTGCCCAAATTACCCTATACCCTTCAAGTACAAGAAGGAGGTCGATGATCAAATTAAAGGAATGCTGAAATGGGGGGTAATGAAAAAAGGCCGATTCTAATTATATTTCACCATGAGTGGTCGTTGGAAAAAAAGATGGGAGCGCCCGAATATGGTTAGACGCCCGAAAGTTGAATTCAAAAATAAAGCCAGATTTTGTTGGGCCACCTAATGCGTCAGAAATATTGTTTAATTTTCTCTTACTAACAAATTGCGATAGAGGAAAGGGGTGTACAATATATAGGGTTTATATATGAGGGAGAGACCTATGTTTTTGCCAGGTTACCCTTTGGGCTGGCCACATCTATGGCAAGTCTCATAAGATGCATGAAGAGGGTATTCAATGGTAAGTGTGATCATTTTGCAATTATATATGTTGACGATATATTAATATTTTCGAAAAGCGTTGGGGAGCATTTGCACCATCTGGAAATATTATTTCGTATATTCTCCACGGAGGGAATGACTTTGAAACTTCCAAAATGTAATTTTCTGAGAAGTCAAGTCGAATTTTTAGGCCACGTAGTCAGTAGTGATGGGGTACATGTAGATCATAGAAAAATGTCGGCAATTACGGAATTTCTTTCGCCCCGGAATGTGAGAGAGCTTCGTGGGTTTTTAGGGCTCGTAAATTATGAACAGAGGTTTTGTGACCACTATTCGGATCTGACGGTACCACTATTGAAACTGAAAAGAAGGCTTTCAAGCGAGTCAAGGAGGCTTATCTTAATACTACCATGGTGTCGCACCCAGACTTCGAAAATACCTTCTATATTCAGTGCGATAGTTCTGATTTTGCTGTCGCAGGTTTTTTATTTCAGATAAGTAGTCCTAGGTCGTGATATGGTCATATTATCTGACCATAAGGCATTGAGTCTCAAGCAGTGGCGTACTGTAGTCCTAGGTCGTGATATGGTCATATTATCTGACCATAAGGCATTGAGTTTCTTCTTGACATGTAAGTTGCGATGTGCGAGGTTGAGTAGATGGATTTTGTACGTGCATGAGTTTGATTTTAGAATAATCCATTGTGAGGGATTGAAAAATGTGGTGGCTGATATATTGTCGCGCAATCTACCATGTAAGAATCTTGATGTAATTCCGGAAAATTCGGCCTACATAAAAATTATTCTAACTAGAATGTCTGATGAACATACCAAATTGAGGTAAAATTTCGAGGAAATGCGGCAAGATCAGCTGGAAGATAAATGGACTCGCGACAAAATTTCGATTTTAGAATCTCTATCTGTTAGCGTACTGGTTTTAACTGGTTTTAACAACTGAAAATTTCTCTATGGTATATACTTCATGAGGGATTGCTTTTTCAGCGTGGGGATGCCCTTAACCCTGATTTTAAGATTTGTGTGCCGTTATCTCAAGTCAAAGGCTTGGTGTGGACACATCATTGTGATTTTGGTCATTTTGGCAAATCCAAGGTTTATTCCCAAATGCGTCAGAGATTTTTCTGA